CCCCAGCCAGCATGGCTGGCTGGGGAATTCTGGGAGTTGAAGTCCACCCATCTTAAAGTGGACAAGGTTGAGAAACACTGAACTATAGAGCTGGTTAACTACAGTATTTCATGCCATTGGGTTCAATTTAACACAATGCCTTCCTCTTACCTTTCGGGACATATGGAAGGCAAGATCCCCCATGCTTCTTCTTAAGACCACGAGTCTGATGTTGAATCAGCACATGACATAATAGGATGTTTCACGTGGTCTAAAGTTCCTTGAACTGCAACATCCGAGCTGCGAGACTGACTGTCGGGATGTTTGAATCTCCGTCCGCATTCACATCTCCCTCCCTGTAGAACACCAGCCTGAAAGAAAGGGCTGATGTTGTCCAGATGTGCTGGATTGCAGTGGATCCCCAGCTCTTGTCTTGTAGTACAATAGATCTGGATGGTTGGTTTAAAAACTTCCTGGCCCAGTTTTCTGCAGGACGGAGGGGTTAGTAAGCTTGCTTTTGAAAATGGTGAGGTGTGCCCAGATAGCTTCACGTGCGAAGAACGATAGCTTCCAAACCTGCTCACACAACTAACCTGCTTGTGTTTCCAGTTTGCAACCCACTGCTGTTTGTTTGTTTGTTTGTTTATTTATTTATTTATATTTCAAATTTAGATACCGCCCATCTCACGAAAAAGTGACTCTGGGCGGTTCTCTAAGCAGTTCAGAGCTATCCTTAAGGCTGACAGCTGATTTTTTTTTAAATTATGATTATATTTTCTTGCACCCTCCCTTCAGATTTTTTTTTCTTTTTAAAAAATGCAGAACTGTTTCTAAGAGAAGGAAATTAAGCCCCTTTCTATGTGCCGGCGGAAGAAAATCAAATCCATGTCTCTCTTACTTGTACGTAAAATAACAGCTCCCTCTAGTGGTGATGCGTAGCATAGCAGTGCTCCTTTAATTCTTAAATTTGAGCCATATGGTCAAAGAACCTTGGCTAAGAATCAAGGTAACTGTAGCTTATATAATCTGTGTTGTATTTGGGTGCCAATAAAGATAACGTTTCAGCATTCCTGCCTGAGCATCGTTTGGTTTGTACTCAGCTCCCTATCTGTGATGGAGCCGTTAGCAAGGGTAAATCTGAGTGTTTCAGCAGGGGGCAGTATTAGATCACACTTGTCTGGGCTCAGAAGCTAAGCAGGGTCTGTCCTGGTGACCACTTGGATGGGGCTCCTCCAGAGAATCCCAGGGCTGTAGACTAGAATGGGGAAACAATAAAACAGCCTGGAAAATGGGGAGGGGGGACACCTTTTCGGTGCAGTTTCTGAAAAAGTAACCTGAAAGTTACCAGGAGCTGAATTCACGTAGGAGACTTTACCTATAAATTTGATAATACCTGTAATGCATAATCTGGGAAGGGGCAATTAATTACATCCAAAGTTTATCTTTGGAACCTTGAAAAGGTGGTATAAGTTGCAATTCACTTGCGGGTTTGCTTATACCTATCAAAAAGAATCCCATTTTGATTATCCAGGGAAATGTAAATAGAACTTTTAGATCTGGGCTGAACACTATCCGGACCTGGTTGGGTGGCTGCAAAGAGCTAGAATTTCTCTATTGCCACCTACTAGTCATCTAGATTGTTGCAGCCCAGATCCGATAGTCCTAATTGAATTGATACGATCTTCAGTGAATGTGAAAGTTTTGATCTTGCATGCTTCTTCTGGACTGGTTCCATAAACTGTATCTCAGGTTATATGATATATAAATATGGATAACCTTTAGCAGGACCTTTGCTTTGATGGTACAAGCAAATAAACCAGGAAACTTCCAATTTACAGTTTCACATTTACTCTGAACCCAGGAGTTATTGAGATCAAGCCTGGGCGTTAGAAATTGGTTCAACCTCCAGCCTTGTTCCAAAGTTTGTAGCAAAGGCTTCCTAAATTTGGATGAAATAGGAAACTATGATTAAATCATATGGGTTTTGCTTGAAACGGGTTGCAAGCATAGACCAGTATTAAGCCAAATTGTGATCTTTCAAACATGGTCTATGTATTTTTCATAGTGGCTGCCCTTCATTTCTCAAGCAAATCATATTTGGCAAATGTGAACGTGGCTTTCCTCTTGTACTCCCAGGATAGGAAGCTAGTCCTCAAGAACAATGATGC